TGTAAAAAATATTAAAAATATTATGCTTATTTTATTATTGTATTAAAATATATTATATAATAGCAGCTGCCATTTTTCTGGTTAAACAAGATTTTGGCAACACCTCAGCTTAGATACATGTACTTATGAATATTTAAGAAATATGTTGTTAAATTAGTTCCATGTGCTTTAATAAGAATATGTTAAACTTGTTTGTATTTATGTAAGTAATAGTATGATATATTATTCCAAGCCTAAACAAGCACGTGTGTGTGAGAAGTTTTCGCCTAACATTGCTATTGTATGTTTCTTTATTTGCATTATTATTATTTTCACGATTATTATATGTATGTGTGTACATATGTATGTATGAGTGTATTTATGTTTTGTCTTTTCCACAATTCAAGCGGATACGCCGGCTAATGGATTTCAAATGTAAAACAATGTTTGAGTTCAAAAGCCTATTTGAAGGTTAGCGCGAAATAGGAAACTACGTAGACAAAAAATGCACAATCACCAACAGACAAACGCAAAAGAATGCATACTTTACCACCAGACATAATATTGTACAATACAAAGAAAGAACAAAAAAGGATAACAAAAAAACAAAGAACAAATTTGAAACATTTTGTAATGGCGATACCTTTCATTTAACTTATATGCATTAAATTAATAAAGCATTCATTGAATGAGCATAAGTAAATTGTTATAATTCATTCTTTCATGCATTAAGCAGATACATCAATCGCAATTTGACAGCAACGCTTTGAAAAAAGTGACAGTAGGAATGCTTTAATGTCGTTATGAAATACAGCAAGTAACCAGCAAAAAAACAGTAAAATGGACATAAGAAATATTATGAGATTGTCGATTCGCAATTAAGATTTTACTTAGATACTACCGAGATTTTACTTTGTGTTCTGCGGTTTTATGCCGTTAATTGACTTCGCGCATACAAAATGATTAATAAATGTTTCCACACACATTATGTGGTTGACATAAATGTGTTCCCATAATAATGAAGCATTAACCACAATTCTTTGAGCAAATGGAATAACTAACCGGAACAAAATATGAATTTACATACTAGTATAAGTAGAGCGTTTCTTTTTATTAAAATATGCCATAAGGCTGTTTCCAATCGTATTGTTAAAGAAGGCTGAGGCTTTTGGTTGATGAAAAGACTACTAGTTTTCGATAAGAAATACACACATTTATATAAAAGTCGTAGTATGTGACGGCGTAGTTTTGAAAATATTTTTTTTGAAAAATATTTGTTTGCTTTAAGAGATAATTAAAAAGTTAAATCTGATTTTGAATGCAAAATATTTGGGAACATGAAGTGCGCTAGGGCGAAAAATTTTAATTAAAACA